TGGGAGTGACCCAACGTTCTACCCCCCTCGCCCCCCGCCCCACACACACACACAAGAAAAAAGGGAGTGCAGGGCTTGGGGATTAGAATACTCACTGCTACAGGTGTAGGACTTAATTGCCTTTAACTCTCAAACACACATGGAATCTCTACCAGTCTTGCCAGACTTCACATGCAGGTTAGTGTGAGCAAAATGACTTCAAAATATGAATGCTTTAAGCCATGTCTTCAGAATTGTTTCCATAACTAAGCTGTGTTTTCCTTGCCCTCCTTTCTATCCCATAGGAGACAGAGTGGGGGTGGTGTGACTTGGTGACAATGGAGGAAGAGACCAAGAGCTCAGCTGACCAGTGGGCTGGTTTCCACCCAGCTCTGAGACACTGTCTATCTCTGACTGCCTGGTGGCAGGACACCTTGCTGGCTTGATTGTCAGTTCATGATTGGTATATCAAGGACCCTTTCCTGGGGTCTGGCTGTTCTGGGAGAAGTTCCAGGTCATCTGGTCTCCCCTCAACCCACTGACTGTGCCTGGACTGGCTCAGGCACCCTGGGCTGTAGAATCCTGTCAGGGCAATGAGCTCCAGGCACCTAGGTCATTTTATGCTGCTACCTGTGGCTAGAGTGATAGCACAGAGGTAGGGCATTTGCCTTGCATGCAGCCAACATGGCCGACCCGAGTTCGATTCCTCCGCCCCTCTCAGAGAGCCCAGCAAGCTACCGAGAGTATCTCACCCGCATGCAGAGCCTGGCAAGCTCCCCGTGATGTATTCGATATGCAAAACACAGTAATAACAAAGTCTCCAGTGGAGACGTTACTGGGCCCGCTCGAGCAAATCTATGAACAACGGGAGGACAGTGACAGTGACCTGTGGCCATGCCACACAAGTCAGTAATGACTCCCATGGCCCAACTAGAAGCCATCCTCTCAACCTGCCTCCTTCCACAGTCAGACCAAGTCAGGGAGACTCCGGGCAAGCAGAGGTGGTCCAGAGTTCCAAACAAAAAACCAAATAGGAGGACCCCTGTTCCTCCACCACCACCACCAAGAGTGCGATAAGCGCAAGAAGGAACAACAGAGACACTCATATCTCACCACCTGGCTCGGCAATTGCCTTCACTTTACTCAGGAGGAAAAGGCAGAGGGTTCTCTTTTAGCCCCATCGGGTCCTGTCTTCTTTCTTTCTGGCTCAGGGTGAGCTTTAGTGGTCAACATGGTGTTCCTAAGGCCTCTATGGTAGAGTAGCCACGAAGAGAACAGAAAGAATTAGAAAATAAATTCTCAAAGTAATGTTCCAGCTTACAGAACTATTAATGTAGTAAGTAACAACAACTTTGCACATCAGAAACTAAATATTATCTCTTTCTCTTTTTCATTTTCTTTGGGGGAGGGATTGTTTTGTTGGGGCTTTTTGTTTGTTTTTGACCACACCTGGTGGTGCTCAGAAATTTCTACTGACTCTGCATTCAGTAATATATTTTCCTGGTGGTGCTCAAGGCTGAAGCAATAGCACAGTGGGTAGGGCATTTGGCTTGCACATGGCCGACCCAGGTTTGAATCCTCTGTCCCTCTCTGAGAGTCCAGCAAGCTACCAAGAGTATCCCGCCCGCACAGCAGAGCGTGGTAAGCTAGCTCCCCTGGCGTATTCAATATGCCAAAAACAGTAACAAGTCTCACAATGGAGATGTTACTGGTGCCCGCTCAAGCAAACTGATAAACAACAGGAGGACAGTGCTACAGTGCTACGGTGCTCAAGGGACCGTATGGGATGCCAAGAATCAAACCCAGCTTGAACACATGCATGGCAGTGCTCTACCCACTGTACTATGGCTCTGACCCCCTGCTTCACAATTTCTTGACCCACACTGTTTACAATTTCTTGACCCACACTGATCTCCCAAAAAGTCTCCCCAAAAGAAAACAAATGTTTTCTATGGAAGGAAAAGACAGGAAGGACATCAATGATTTATCAAAGATAACCCACCTTTCTCACACACCAGAGTCTCCACAGGAACAGACAGATGAGCTCAATGTAATAATCGCAGTCCAAATGCACATATACACCCTCACAATGCATTTACATTATTTCCAAAACTCATAACTTTACCTTTCCATTCACTGTATTCTTATGAAGCTTCAACTTTGACTGCTAAACTGCTCACATTTTTAAATGATTTTCTTACTTTTATGGTAAGATGACAGAAAAGTCTTAAGATTTCCTCCTTAGAGAATGCTGCCATTAAAATATATATTACATATATATATACACCCTTAATTCATGTATAATCAGTACTTCACCAGCCATTGCTTTTCCTTTGTTGCTGAAGAATTCCAGGTCTTTTCTTCTTCAACTCCCAACCCAAATAGTCCCTGGAATCCCAGGGATATCCTACATGCACACAAATCAGAGAGGACCTGCAGTATCCTTGATGTTATATTTTTTCCTACTCTGACTCCAGCCATATTATCTCCACATACCCATCTCCTCCAGAACTGCTAAAGATATTGTACAATGTACTTGGAAAATAGATCTAAATAATCTCAACACATATCCACAAAGGTAACTGTGTGAGGTGGTGGAGGTGTGCACAAACCTTACTGGAGCAACCATTTCCCAATCATCACAAGACAGCCCTTAAACTTACACAGTCACATAAGTCCCCTGTATCTCAAAATATCTGGGGGAAAAGAATTTAATATAGAAAGGCAGATAGAGATGATTAAAGGTGACAAAAGATCCTCTTAAAATCAAGGCCAGAATTTAATGAACAAAAGAAAGCAGATTTCTAGAACCTCCCTGAGTTCCTCTAAATGAATTCAGCTCCCAGTAATGGCTGCATCATCATGTCAGATTCTTAAGTCCATTCTAAAAAGAGACAATAAGAAAACACTTTCCTTAACATTTCAAAGAGAGTTGGTGCTGGAAAGATAACACAGTGAGTAGGGTGCTTGCTTTGCACCTGGGTTTGATTCCTGGCATCCCATATGGTTCCCCAAGCCTGCCAGGAGTAATTCCTAAGTACAGAGCCAGAAGTACCTCCTGAGCACTACCAGATGCCCGAAACAAAAACACAAAACAGAAAATAGAGAACACAGGGAGCTGAAGAAGTAGTGCAACAGGTAGGGCACTTGCCTTGCATGCATGTTCAATCCCCAGGACCCCAAATGGTACCCTGAGCCCTACCAGGAGTGATCTCTCAGTACAGAGCCAGGAGTAAACCCTGAGCACTGCTGGGTGTGGCGCCCAAACAAAAGATTTCAAGTGGGTGGGGAGGGGAGGGATGGCAAAGAGATATTACAGTGAGTAGAGTACTTGCCTTGCACATGGCCCACCTGTAACTGATCCCCAGCACCACATATCATACCCCCAAGCCTCACCAGGAGTGATTCCTGAGTGCAGAGCCAGATGTAAATTCTGAATACACCCAGGTGTAGCACCAAGAAAAGAGGGAGATTTCAGATGGTTTTAGTTATACACACTAGATAATTTAGGTAGGAGTAGGGTTAGTTTAGTTGGCTGGTGAGTCGGTTTCCAGAGGGGGCCACACCCAGCAGTGCTCAGGGGATGCCCCCTGAAGCCTAGAGGAAGAAGCCCTGAGAAGCCATGTGGTGCTCAAATCAAACTGGGAACTTCTGTATGCAAAGCATGAGCTGTCTGTAGTCCTTGGAGCTAACTCTTGAATTCTTGTATAATTTAAATCTTTTTTCTAATCCAATTCCTAAGTCTTATTTGGCACATAAGGGGGGGGCGGGGATAAAGCAATCTCTGATCTTCAAAAATCATTCCTTACAAAATCAAGAGTTGGAAATCCTTCCCCACTCTTCATAGCAGGCACTTGGCTACCCTCGGAGAGATAGAACAAGAATTTTTTCCATCAGGCACGGAAACCCCAGCCAGCCTATCTGAAAACCTCACACAAGGCAAGTGACTTCAAACTGTCTTCATCTAAAAGTGCTCTGAAGCAGCAGTACCCCTGTTCACAGCTGACTCAAATCTCTTAAAAGGAATGAGGACAGCCCAAAGCAACGTCTGCAGAAGCAGGGAGCATGTCTGTCGTGGGCGAGATGGGGACAAGAATCCAGAAAGAGAATCCGAAGCTCCCTGGTTGCACGGAAGGAGACGAAGGTTCCGAGCAAAAGCCTCTCGGTCTTCCGCCCGCGCTCAGACCCTCTGGGGATGGCACAAGAAGGCTAAAAATTAAAGGCTGGTCCAACAACAAAGTAAATTATTCGGGTCTCTGAAGTACTATTTTTGTTTCTGGACACCGGGACGACTTCGAGAAAGTCGTCTGGATTTTGTGTGATTTGCCTCCTTGTCAGGGACTGAAACTGACAGGGACAGTTTAAGCCGGCGTCTCCCGCGTTTCCCTCTAGCGGTTTCCTTTGCCTTCTTCCTAGCTCGTGGACTGTCCACCCTGGCTGTCGGTGACCAAGGTCTGCGGTCTCCTGCGGGGAGACGACCGGAGACTCGCTGCAAAGGGGCCAGAATCCACTGAGGAGGAAACTCCCTGACACGAAACACCACAGCGGGACATGATTCACTACACTGGGAGACAAATTACAATGGGATAGAAATTACCGAAACTACTTCAAAGCCACGCTCTGACGTTAGCGATTCAAAGTCAGTCAGCTCGCCTCCAGATTTTGGAGGGTTTGACTGGAAGCGAAAGATGAACATTTTCTGGGAAGTGCCAAAAAAAGGGAAGTTTTTTCTTAAAAATTCAGGAAGAGCGTGGGGACGTGAGGGAGCTGAGAAGCAACTCGAACAGCCCGAAACAGTCCCGAGCTACCCGCGACGGTCCAGAGACGCCGCCAGACGGTCCAGCAGATCCGACTTCTTCCTTCGACTTTGCAGTCCCTGAGGCGGAGCCCGCCTGCCCCGCCCCGCCCCGCCCCGCCCCTTCCCCTCCTCAAGATGGCGGCACGAGCGTCACGGGCCGGGCAGGGCGCGCGCGGCCCTCTGGGAGCGGAAGTGGAGGCCGGCGCGGCTCTGCGCTGCGGCCGGGCCGGAAGAGGCGGGGCCGGGCCTGGCGGAGCCGCGAGAGTTGCGGGCGCGCTGACTGTCGCTGTTTGCGGGCGCCGAGAGCCGGCCTTGGCGGGCGGGTTGCGTCGCGATGCCGGAGCTGGCGGTGCAGAAGGTGGTCGTCCACCCCCTGGTGCTGCTCAGTGTGGTGGATCACTTCAACCGGTGAGCGGGCGGCGCGGGGCGGCATGGCGGGGCGGGCGGCGCGGGCGCTGCTGAGTCACGGGCGCGCCGGGGGCCGCAGAAGCCCCCCTCGAGGTCTCGGCGCCCGAGTCCCGGGCCTCGACCCGCTGCGTGCTCCGCTGCCCCGGCGGGGTGGGGAGCCGAGGAGACCGGGACGACCCCCGTGGCCGACGCCCCCGCCCCCCCGTCACCCCGGGACGGCCCGGCCCAGCCGAGTCCCCGGAAGGAAGCGCAGGGCTGCTCGCTCGGGGGTCGCCCCGTCGGTGGGAGCCGGGTTTGAGCGCCGGGGCGCCAGGGGACCCCCGCGTTCCTTGTACACGAGAGACCCCGGCCGGAGCCGCGGGGGCTGGCGGGTCGGGTAGGAAAAGATCCCGCAGGGCGCCCCGGTTCCCAGGCCTTGGAGGGTGGGGGAGCCCCTCCGCCGCCCCTGGGCCCTTGCACCCGCTCCTCCCGCTGCACCTGTTGAGCGCTCCGGAGTTTGCAGAGCAAGCGGAGCGGGTGGACGGCCGCCCGGGCCTCTTCTGCTGGGGAGCGCGGGGGGGTGGGGGATTCCGCACTAGAACTCTCTCACCCCCGCCCCGCCAGAGCTGCAGGCACCCCCCCACACACACACACACACCAGCACCGGCGATTGAGTCCTGCTACCTGCCACGCGCGCCGGTGCAAGGAGCCCACGGCGGACACTGCAGCCGTCCAGGGGAGGGTTTGGACGTGGGAGACCCAGGGCGCAGCCAGGGAGTGTGGGGTGTGCTGCGAAGCGTGGAGATGCCCCGCCTGAGAATCCCCCTCTGCCCCAAATCCGAACCGCCAGGAAGGCTGGGCCCTGCCGGCGACGCGCAGTGGTGTCCTGGCTCCGTGGCGTTCAAACCCCGAGTTCAGTCCGCGGTTCGGAAATTGTCACTGCAGGCGTTTCTAGAACACTAACCCAAGGCAGAACGCAGGCGGTGACCGGACCACCTCGGCTGCGTTTCACGGGGGGTCCCCGCCGGTCCTCGGGTCACAGAGTTGGTTGCATTGTTCCTGTATCTCACCTTTTGCTAGTGGTTCAGAGCAGAGAGAGTTTGTGACACTCTGGGACTTGTGTGTGTCGTACCCCCACCCACCCACCCAAATCCCTCGGAAGGTGTGATCTGGAGACACCGTGAAAATCCTCCTGGTCCAGCTATGCTCCTTGGAGGGGCCGCAAATGGTGCACAAGCCTCTAATCAGGGTCACTCTCCCAGTCGCCAGATGGCCCAGGCACTTTTGGTGGGACTTGTTCTAGTGGGACAGGTCAGCTGGGAGTGGACAATGCAGAGGAGGGCTGGCACCGCAGAACTTGGGTCATCTTTATCCCTGAAAAGACTTGAGGATAAGAAGTGGGTGGGGAGAGAGTTGGAAAGCAAAGATGGTAAGATGTGGGGACAGGTTTCTCAGACACCAACCAAGTAATGTTTTTTTGTTTGTTTTGGGACCACAGCAGGTGGTGTTCAGGGCTACTCCTGACTCTGTACTCAGAGGTCACTCGTGGTCGGTCTCCGGGTCTTAGGAAACCGTATGTGGTGCACGGGGATGGAACCCAAGTAGGCGCTGTGCAGGGAAAGTGCGCTTTCCGCTGTATTTCACATCACCCCCTCCGAGTAACATTGTAAAGGTCCTAAGAGTTGAGTTTTCTCCTCTCCATTTTTGTTTTCTCTGAAGTTTGTCACTTTCCTCAGGTATGAGGTGTGATTTTCATAGCCTAAGGTGAATAACTCTGCCAGCACTCACAGTACACGGGCACCCATTATAGTTACACAGATTTACCTGGTGCTAATGTAGGGGGTCTCACCCCCAGGTGAACTGTGTCTGTAGCCTCAACCTTCCTCTGAAGAAGCGTATAATTCTAGGGTTGCGGCTCTGCGTCTATCAGAATGACCTTCTCCTTTCTCATTCAGAATAGGCAAAGTTGGAAACCAGAAACGTGTGGTTGGTGTGCTTTTGGGGTCATGGCAAAAGAAAGTACTTGATGTATCCAACAGCTTTGCAGGTAAAAGAATTCTATATTTTTTTGGTTGTGGTTAATCTGTGAATTAGAAGAAATGTTCTTTCCTTTCTCTTTGTTTTTAACTACACCCAAGAGATTGTATTTCAGAATTGTGTATATGTAGAAGAGGGAAACTCCACCTCAGCTGGATAGTAAATACTTTAAATTTCAGGCTAACCATTCTCCATGCCAGTACCCAGCTCTGTTGAACTACAGCAGCTTGAGATGGCAGACAAATGAGGAGCTGTGATTAGAGATGCTTTCAGAGAATAAGGCAGTCGGGATAGTTCATCAGCCTCTGCACCAAAGCTGTAACCTGCCCATAGTTTATAGACGGAGCTGAGGGAGCCAGGCACTGTGACCTGTCACTGTTTCATGAATCTTGATAAGAACGTCTCCCATGAATGTCATGATTCAAGTAACATGAAAGAACAAAGTAACTGCTGGCATCACTTCTGGACTAGAGATCTCTAATGTTGTTATCTAAAAAGGACCAGGCAGCAGCTTGGTGGGAGAATTAGGAAGTGACGGGCTTTTGTCAAACTGAAGAATGTGTCTTTGTTAAAGGGAACAGGTGGCAGGTACAAATCAAATACATGGGTCGGGTCTGGCCCAGGGGTCCTCGTTCTCTCTGGCATCCTAAGCTTTTTTTTTTCCTCTTTAGTTCCTTTTGATGAAGATGACAAAGACGATTCTGTCTGGTTTTTAGACCATGATTACTTGGAGAACATGTATGGAATGTTTAAGAAGGTCAATGGTATGTCTTGGTTGTTTTTTTTTGTTTTTTTAACTGTTATGTTAGTTGGGCGGGGGGTATATGATGTTTAAATAATTCCTTTTCTGGGACTGGAGTGATAGTACAGCGGGTAGGGCGTTTGCCTTGCGGCCTGCCCGGGTTCGATTCCCAGCATCCCATATGGTCCCCTGTGCATCTCCAGGTGTGACCCAAAAAAGCAAAAAATAAATAATTCCTTTTCTTTGTCAAATGTCAGTCTATTCATTTAGATGTAAGAGATGGTAGTAGAAGAATGAGAAAATAAAGAAAGAGGAAGAGTAGCAGCAGTTTGTCAGCAGCAGGGGGAGCACCCACAGGCCATAGGAGCAGTGTCCTGCCAAGGAAGGGCCCCGTACCCAGAGAGCGGGGGTCGAACCCAGAAGTCTGTAAAGATTGACATAGAAGTCTGGGGCTTTGGGTGTGGCTCAAGAGTAGAGCATGCACTTGCCTTGCATGCATGAGGCCCCGGCATGGAAATAAAATTAAATAGATGTCTAGGAATTTTTTTCAAAATGCAGAACTTTCCCACCAGGGTTCTTGACCTTTTTTTTAAGGAAATTGTATAGCTCGTCATATAACAGTATAAATGCGTTTTTTTATTTTCTTTCCCAGCCAGAGAAAGGATCGTTGGGTGGTACCATACAGGCCCTAAATTACACAAGAATGACATCGCCATCAATGAACTCATGAAAAGATATTGCCCTAACTCAGTAAGTGTACTCTGTTCCTCAGATTCTTGATATTCTTGCCAGTTAATTCAAGAAAATGTTGTACAGAGAAAGCAGATCATTTTATCACTCTTCTATCAGTTACTTATTTTGAATCATTTTTTAGGGTTTTGTGCCAGCCAGTATGTTCAGGAAGTTACTGTAAACTCTTGCTGAATGCCAAATATGTTAATTACCTTAATCATCTCAATCAGGAAGACAGTGAGAAAACAGATTCAGAGTGGTTACTAAGGTCTAGAAGTGTGGACTAGGATTAAAATGTTGGTCACCTCTACTCTTATTCCCCCCACACCCGACCTCTTGGGCTGGAGCGATAGCACAGCGGGTAGGGCGTTTGCCTTGCACGCAGCCAACATGGCTGACCTGAGTTCGATTCCTCCGCCCCTCTCGGAGAGCCCGGCAAGCTACCGAGAGCATCTCGCCCGCACGGCAGAGCCTGGCAAGCTCCCCATGATGTACTCGATATGCCAAACACGGTAACAAGTCTCACGATGGACACGTTACTGGGCCCGCTTGAGCAAATCAATGAACAATGGGAGGACAGTGACAGTGATCCGACCTCTCAATTTAATGATGGTAAAGAATAGCAAATGATGAGCTCGTTTGACATGAAGAAAACTCAGTTTTGCTGAAAATCCAGATTTATGTCAGGTTGAATGAAATAGCTCCAGTTGCCATCCAGTGTGACTGTCATTATTCCTTCATCGAGGTGGTTTGCTGACATGTATTTTCTACCAGGTATTGGTCATTATTGACGTGAAGCCAAAGGACCTGGGACTGCCCACAGAAGCATATATCTCCGTGGAAGAAGTTCATGATGTAAGTCATTTTGCTACTTCTCAAGCAATTGAGCTTCTTTGCCTATTTTCAGCAAATTATTTTTTATCTCCGTACAAAAAGAGAGTTGTTTTCTGTCTACGGTTTGATGTTGCATTTTTTTCCACCAGGAGGTTTTGAATCACTAAATTTTAGAAATAGGGCCAGAGAAGTCTAAAATTCCCTTTTACACATGAATTTGAGTCCCAAAGTAGATAATTTCCCACAGGTGTTAACAGTAAAGCTAGCGCAGCGTCTGAATTTAGTTTGAATATAATGTACTTTTCATAAATTGGGCCCTGCTAAGCTGGAATTCTTCCTCCTTGAAGACTTTCTATCCCTTTAGAGGAAATCAAAGGTTTCCGAATAGTTGCCAGAGCTGGTGGGAACCGGTGGCAAAAAGTGATCAGACACTTGACTACCAACCAGTCAGGTGCCTATTGGGACTCGGCCTGTGTTACCAAAGGCGAACACCTTGACCCCGTGCTCGCCCCTAGAGCTGGAGTCTTGGATGTAGTCACAAACAGCAGCCGAAACCAGGCTCAGGTTCTTGGATAGAGTTTGATGAGAAAACGCGTATATATTTTCTTGTAAGAATTATTAGCACTTTGGGTGAGTGGAGTTCATTCTCGAATTTCCAGAGTCAAAGTCTGAGGGGTCGATTAATGTCTCATTGGATTTGATTGTGCAGCATGCAGTCTTAGATTAACTGGGGGCGGGGGCACTCATCTGTGCTCCAGGCTGACTCCTCACAGGGACCATAATGTGGTGCTGGGATTCAGGTGGGGCCGGCTGTGTGCAAGGCAAGTGCCTTTACTCCTTATACTGTCTCTCCAGCCCCACATTCATGGATATTTTCTTTTTGTTCTTTTGTTTCTTCTATTTGCTAATTTACTTGTTGGGGGCTACACCCTTTGGGTGTTCAGGAGCAAGGCCAGTGCCTTATCCCCTGACTTGTCTTTCCAGCCTATGTGTTTGGGGGTTGTTTTTGGTTTTTACTTTTGGGGCTATTCCTGGCAGTGTGCAGGGGTTACTCCTGGCTCTGCACTCAGGAACCACTCCTGGCAGTGCACAGGGGACCATATGGGATGCCGGGGATCAAACCCAGGTCAGCCACATGCAAGGCAAGGCACCTTACTGCACTACTGCTCCGGCCCCTCGATGTTTAGTTTTTTAAATCTAGGAAAATACTGAATTCACCTAGAAAACGTTTCTTACACGTTAATATCTTATCCTACTTCTTTAGGACTTCTCATACGTTAATACTTTATCCTACTTACACTCTATGACCAGAGAACAGATTTTCTTTTTAACGGGTATAGAAGGGACATGATTAGCCATATTGTAAGATGAAGCTAGAAAACTGGTACCTGAAGAGGCATGTCATGAAATCCTACAAGATACTGAAAGCCGCTGACCATCCCGGCAAGCGAGGCAGGAAGACCTTGGCAGGAGTCCCACAGTCCTGGATAGAAACATCAGAGCTAATGTTCCCCCTCCAGCGAGCCAGGTGCTCTCCCGTCCCACACAGCCAGGCATGAACCGGGCCGTCGCTGGAGCTTGTGGCCTCACAGTGCATAGTCTGTACAGGAATCTCATCTTGTCCTTCCCGGGGCCTGGGTGCCCCAGAGCCTTGGTAGCGCTTTGATAAGTCAGGCCACCAGAAAGCCAGATACAATGTGGGGGTGGGGGGTGGTGATTGTGGCTCTGTTCTCATCACATCCGAGGGCAAAGATGGGAAGAGGTTAGAAATCAGGCTTTCCTTAGAAACTAGCCAGTGATGAAGCCCCAGCAGCTCTGTCACTGGCGAGAGGACCCGAGCTTTCAGGGCCACCCTCGCCCACGCCCGAGGAAAACCAGAAGAGCCCGGGAGTGATGCCCGGTGTGAGTGCTGGGCTGTGAGTCAGGCGTTACAGTTTGCTCTCCTCTCAGGATGGAACCCCCACCTCGAAAACCTTCGAGCATGTGACCAGTGAGATCGGAGCTGAGGAAGCAGAAGAAGTGGGAGTGGAACACTTGTTACGGTGAGCGCACCCCGATAGCTGCACTCCCTCCAGACTGGGGAGACCAGGGTTCGAGGCCTGCATCAGCTCGAGGCTCTCGGGTTTCAGTTTGTGGCTGGGTGGACAGTGCACCTACCTGGAACCTGTCGTGGGGACTGTCACTGGGACGGATGAGTGATACCAAGCTGCCATATCCTCACAGGTCACTCAACCGTGTCATACTGAGAGTCTGCCGGTGGCTCTTGTTTTAAAATGCTTTGGTTTCTATAACTGGCTTGGAACAGTCATAGTTTTCTCAACTAATAAAGTTCCATCCAGTTAAAAACATTTCTGCCAAGTTAAGCTTTTCACGATAGTTTCTGGAAACACACAGAGAATGGGCTTTTTAAAGAAGAGGGACATTGAGGTAGCACACAGTAAAAATTAAAATTTACCCAGAGTGCCACTGTCAGATTAGGTAAAAATGGGTTTGTTTTGGCTCTCACAGTCCCTCTTCTGAAAAATGCCTCATGATGAGAAAATAACATTTCTTCTAAGGAAAACAAGATGAAGGTGGTTTATCCATATATCTTTATAAGTGGAAAAGTAACCTCAAAGGGGCAGGGGATGCCAGGGATTTGTACCCTGGGCCTCACCTTGATCTGAACCCTGATGCCTTTTCCTGCCCTTTGTGTGTCCCTAGAGACATCAAGGACACCACAGTGGGCACTCTGTCCCAGCGGATCACCAACCAGGTCCATGGTTTGAAAGGACTGAACTCCAAGCTTCTGGATATCAGGAGCTACCTAGAGAAAGTGGCCACGGGCAAGCTGCCCATCAACCACCAGATCATCTATCAGCTGCAGGACGTCTTCAACCTGCTGCCGGATGTCAGCCTGCAGGAGTTCGTCAAGGCCTTTTACCTGAAGACCAACGACCAGATGGTGGTGGTGTACTTGGCCTCGCTGATCAGGTCCGTGGTCGCCCTGCACAACCTCATCAACAACAAGATTGCCAACCGGGATGCCGAGAAGAAAGAAGGGCAGGAAAAGGAGGAGAGCAAGAAGGATAGGAAAGACGACAAGGAGAAGGAGAAAGAGAAGAGCGATGTAAAGAAAGAGGAGAAAAAGGAGAAAAAATAACCATGTAGCTTTCCAATTTGTAAATTAAAATCTTACAAACGAACTTGGTGTGCGGCCGGCGGGTTCTTTTCACTTGAGTGCTTGTCCGAAAGCTGTGGGTCCCGCCTGTGGCACTCCAGAACGGACAGACAGAGGGACAGGTCATGGACCTAAGGTGCAACTGTAAGTCGGGGGTGTGATAGTTCAGGCGTCAAATTGTGGGAGAAAGACGAAGTGAGTACAAGTCTTGGTACTCTAAATTCTTCTGTCAGTAAGACTGGGAGGCAGTTGACCCATCTCAAAAGACTCTGGGTTTTTGACCGTTTGTGAAGTTGCTAACCGGATTGCCTGGATCCCCGCGTGCTTTGCCTCAGCTCACCTGAGTCCGGGTTGTGGACACTTTGGTGTCCTCTGGGCATGGCTCCAGCCCAGTACACTGTTTACCTTCAGAGACACGATTAAAACAGCGTGGTTTGTAAATCTGTGTTGCAGTCGTCCTTGACTCAGTGCTGAGCCATTGTTTCCAGCAGTTGTGATAGTCCGGCCGAAGCTTATGCCTTACATGCATCAGGCCCTGGGTTCGCTCCCCAGTACCACAAAAGTAAATTTGTCATTTCAGACGTGAAATCTTTACAAAAGCACCTCATTCCCTAAAAAAAAAAAAGAAAGAAACATCATGGGTCCTAACTGCATCCAGTTCCTTCTGAGGTCAGGAGCGGGTTTCCAGAAGGGACACAGGCAGGTGCCCACAGCCAGCCTCTTGCCAGCAGGTGTCCCTCCTTAGGAGTTTGGTGATATGCCATAGGAAAGATCAGTGTTCCAGGATTTGAAATACAAGAAAATGGTGGTTGGTTTTTTTTATTGTTGTTTTTTTAAAGAAAAAGCTGACTCACAAACTACTCATAAGCTGAGAAGCTTCAGTTTCCCAAGCATCTATTTTAACTCTATAGGCCTGCTGAAGAGCGAGTTAGTGGAAATTTAGGGGTTAATAATAACCACACTTTTGCTCTCCATGAAGAAGCAGGTCCACGGAATGGGTCCTTACAGTTCATTACATTCCTAGGATAGACAGGAAAACTAGAGGGCCACACAGTCAACCGTTGGAGGGCTGGACTATCTAAACAAAAGAAACGCACATAAGTCATGTAAATATGCACATAAAGGAGTGTTGAGGCTACTTTGATACAGGTTAAATAAGAAAAGAAACGGGATGCTCACTTTATCCCTGGAAAGGGCAGAGGCAGCTGCAGCAATGGAGGGCTGAGTCTCGGGATGGGGCCAACATCAACATCCAGGGGTGGCAGATCCTTGTGAAAGGGTGTCATGAGCCTCCCCCAGCTATACAATGGCAAAAGTGCCACCAGATACCCAGTTTGGAGAACTGGGATGTTTATCGAGCACCAAAGGATGAGGGAGTACCTGGGCCTTGTGAGATTTCTAGATGTGCTTGTCTTTACCTCCCTTAAACGGTCTTCTAATGGAAGTAGCTGGTAGCCTGTGGTGTGCCTCAGGCAGAACTGTGTTCCTAGTTAAGGGGGACCCTGTCTTAGAAACAGCAACTGATCACTTCACTTGATCACTTGACATCCCGTTACTCGGATTTGCTTGAGCGGATGCCAGTAATGTCTCCATTCATCCCTGTTGCGTGCTAGTGTAGCCCAATGGCGTCTGCTCATTCTAGGGACACGAACAGCCTTAAACCAATCGTTCAGCATCTTGATGAAGAAGTCTGACCATCTCGTAGATGGGCAGCCCCAGTCGGTAACAGCTCTAGACCAGCGGTCGTCTCCAAATCTCATTACGTGTCCATCCCATCTGATTTTCGACGCCTTGGCAAACAAGACAGCAACCCTGATTCTTGACCATCGACGGAGGTTGGAACTCCAGATTCTTTCTCTCATTTGAGTGAAGCGTGATACTCCAAACATAGCTCTTTTGATTCCTCTTTGGGAGACCCAAATAGAATTCTCATCCTGCTTTCGTAGGGCCCAGGTCTCTGAGGCATATGTTAACGCAGGAAGAACAGTGAAATCGAAGAGATGTGCCTGGAGCCGGAGGTTCTTCGGGTAAGAGGACGACCAGACTAAACCTATGGCACGCTCCTGAAATGAAGCTTTGTGTTCAGAGGGCCGAGTGTCTAAATGAAATTTCTAAACTGTTCTTGTTGGAGTCACTGGAAAAGTGTCCTGGGAGACGCCAAGACTTTCCCCTCCATGTCCAAGTGCTTAAGAGATGGTTTAGGGTTCAAGCAGCCACTAGAACAGGGCTAGTACAATGAGTGGGAAGGGCACCCCACAGTCAGAGGTGGTGGCATTTAGATCACAGACATGGGAAGCATCCAAGAGGAAATCAGTTATCTATACAAAGACAGCAGAATGCAGTAGCTATGGGCCAAGTCATAACATGTTCAGGCAGTGTTGTCCTGAGGGAATCTTGCTCCTGTGCTGGATCTGCATCTGCTAAACAGGATCAGAACTTGGAGTCTCTGGTTCTGGAGGACCCTCAGGCTCCAAGAACTCAACCTTGTATACAGCTTAAAATGTGCTTGCCTTGTCTGTGGCTGACCTGAGTTCAATCCCCAACACCCTATATCAGTCCCCCAAGCCTGCCAGGAGTAAGCCCTGAACACAGCCAGGTGTGGCCCAAAGGAAAATTTAACACATCTCAAAGCAGAAGACGAGAGTGAGTCTGAGTTGCTTATGAAACTACAGCGCACTGTCCCGGGAGACAGGAAGGAGGGCATGCTGGCTGAGAAGGCAGGGAAGTAGGTTTGTGAGCCCCGCAAGACAAGAATTTTACAGTTTCAACAGTCTGCAAGGCAGTGCCCATAGTATAGCAAGTACTGAATTGCATTGTAACACCATTTAAATCTTGGCATCATCAGTATTTGCCTGGGTGTAATAATTCCAGTCTTTCCGGAAAAGGCGAGCCTGTTCTTGTCGGAGGGTGAGTAGGAAGGGAGGAAATGAAGACAGTGGTAAGGGAGCCTGGGAAGAGCCGCCTTGGTGCGTCTCTTGGAGGCCTCTCTGCTCTTCAACACTAGAGGGCGCGCTTACCTCGGCCAGCGAGCCACTGGAGGCCCACTGAGCACAGCCGCTGGGTTAAAGGACTGTGTTGGGCTGTCACAGGTGCCCCTCAGTTGGGTGACACACAGCCAACCTGTTCCTGCTCCTGGTTTGATTTTTAAACCAACCAGCGCCCCTCCCTGCAGTGTTTGCCTGATGGTTCCTTGCTCTGGCCAAAGGCAGTATGGAGCTTGGCTCATCAGCATATTCCAGACTCTCCTGGCTTGTTTTGCTTAGGGGTGGTGCGCAGGGTTTACTTCTGGCTCTGTGCTCAGTGGTCACTTCTGGTGGGCTCATGGGGACCACAGAGGGTGCCTGGGATTGAACCCGGGTTGGCCAGATGCAAGCGCCCTGCCCACTGCACTGTATAGCTCCAGTCCCTCTCCTTGAGCCAGGAATAAACCCTGAGGACCACCGAGTGTGGCCCAGCAACAAAACAACATGCACAAGCCTGGTGGGTAGTAGAGAGGCAGCTGGCTAGGAGGTCCCAGTCCTCCGTGGTTTAATGTAGATGTGACAGTGCTCTGTGGTTGAGAGCCTGCCTGTACAAATGGAAGGCCACGAGTTCAAGCCCCTGATGCCACCAGAGGGCGAATGTGGAGCTGACTGTGATCAGGTGCCAGAGCTGAGAGGATGCAGCTGCTGTGGATCCTGGAAGTGGGACCCCGTGAGCACTGCAGCGACCTCCAGTGGGCAAAACAAGCAAAGCAACAGCAAAGGGAGCGCATCCCCCAACAAGACCACGGCCTCTTGTGTGACCCCCAGCAGCATAACGACAATGTACAAGTGCCCCGACCAAGCAGGTGTGACCCAACACAAGGCAAGGAAAGATGGGGCCGATGAAAGGCCCATAATCAATGATGTGTTGGCAGCCTCCCCTGTGTGCTGCCTGAGACCCACTGCAATGAGGCCACACACAGACTGTATGTGAAGGGGTGGGGGCAGAGATGTCCCATGCGACTGGAAACAAGTAACAAGGCCACGATGGATGCCCAGTGCCTGCCCAATGCCTGCCACTTGCATTCAGCATCACTCCACAAGGCTGAGTTCTAAAAGCTGGAACAATTTGGCCAGAAAAAGAATTAAAAGCCTCTAAACCAGAAAGAAAGGAATGGAGCCAGAGAGATAGTACAAGAGGTAAGGCACTTGCCTTGCATGTGGCCAAACTCCAATACCACATGGTCCCCTGAGCCCCACCAGGAGTGATCCCTGAGCCAAGAGTCAGAGTAAGCCTTGAGCTTTGTGGGGTGTGAACCCTCTCCAAAAAAAAGAAAGGAAGAAATAAAGGTATCTGCAGATGATGCTTGCCGGGCTCTCCGATATTATATTACATACAGAAAAATCTAAAGACACCACCAAAAAAATAATTACAACTAATAATTCAGTAAAGTTTCAGGTTACAAAATTAATAGATGGGCCAGAGCGACAGTACAGTGGGGGAGTGTGTGCCTTGCACACGGCCAACCCGGGTTTGATCCCCATCCTCCCATATGGTCCCCCAAGAACCGCCAGGAGTAATTCCTGAGTGCATGAGCCAGGAGTAACCCCTGTGCATCATCAGCATGCACCCTGTCACTGTCACTGTCCTCCCATTGTTCATCGATTTGCTTGAGCGGGCCCAGCAACGTCTCTATTGTGACAACTGTTACTGTGTTTGGCATATCGAATACATCATGGGTAGCTTGCCATGCTTTGCCATGCAGGCAAGATATTCTCGGTAGCTTGGTGGGCTCTCCGAGAGGGGTGGAGGAATCGAACTCGGATTGGCCATGTTGGCCGCTTACAAAGCAAACACCCTACCCGCTGAGCTATTGCTCCAGCCCTGGTATGCACCCAAAAAGCCAAAAAAAAAAAAAAAAACCAAAGATTTCTTTAACAGTAAATATCAAGAGACTACAATATTAAATAATAAAACTTCTGAGAATACAGTAGGGACCATTGTCTTTTTAGATATAAATTTAAGTTAATACAATGTACCTCCTGCTCTGAACTGTCCAGA